GTTAGCAGGAATAAAACCAAACATAGATACATACAATTCTTTGTTAAAGGTAACTTTATTGACTATCACACAGAAAATGGTGGTACGGTTATGCAACTGTTGAGCTGTGCTTGTATTTAATTATTCATATCAAGTATATTATAAAAGTAAAAGAACGTGTCGGCCTAAATCGAGTTCTGGAAGCTTTGCAATCAAATATGTGGGAAGGAATGGTTCGAGAATTTCACAATGTCAATGATTCACATTTAGAGGAACACGAAGACTATCAAGAGTTGTGTGAAGGCATTAAATCCATTTTTTTTATGTATGCTATTTGCTTTCTTTTCCTTTTTTTTAATGCTTGCGGATTACACGTTTATCAGCTATTGCACAGTTGAAATTTGACCAAAAAAATGAAAAAAAAGATTTAATGTCGCAATTATATGACTACAACTCAGCACCCTTTGATAATGATGATGTTGAATTCTTTAAAGATGGTAAGGATATATTTTTTGATTTTTGATAAACAATTCTTGCCACACGGATATAACCTCTGCTTTATAGGATTACCTTCTCAAAATGAAGTAGAATCTATGTATAACCACATTTTTGGCGACTTTGACGATGAAGATGGGTTGGATAAAGTTTTTACTAGATTGAATTCGTTGCGAGGTAGCCCGTGATATTTTATCATCAGACTACATTTCTGTCTCAATTTTTCATTGTCACCTTTTTTTTATTTTATTTATTTATTTTATTTAATTTATTTTTTCTATGAAAAGAACGCGGCAAAACTCTATCGGATAAGGAGCGGAGAAAATTGGCCGCAAGTGTAGCATGTTCTTTTGGGTTGCATGTGGGAGAAGAGTGAAAGGCCTTTAACTAGTGTGCCATTAATTTAATATGCGAAATTTAATTGTAACCTAAATATATAGATTTAATGTAATTTTGTTATAATGTTTTTGTACTGTACTAGACAGCAAAAATATTCAATTTTTATATCTAGGGAATTATTATTTTCACTATGCTTACACGAAGGTTTCTATTTTTAGTTTAATATTATATTGATTTTAACTAATAGTATAAAAGAAAATTACTTTATATTATTAGTGGTTTTTATCACTACACAGTTTTAAAATTAGGGTTAAGTTTTGAAACCAAAAGAGTTGCATATTTTAGTTTAAATTTTATATTATATAAAGTTTGGAGAGTTCAAATATTTTTTATTTATAAAGTAGATGAGGGTATTATGGCGGGTATGGGTATTGTGGCGGATTTTAAAAAATCAACTATTTCTCATAATCTAATGATCAGAATCGAATAATTTGAATACTAATTGATTCGACTCAATAAGATAAGTCATACTGTATTAAAATTATTTGATTCTGACTAATAGTTCATGAGATATTAACATTAAAAAAAAATCTTTGTCGGTTGAAATAATAAGACAGAGAAAATCGTTACCAAAAAAATTTCGAATATCACATAATGCATCGATATGAGGGAAAATGAGTATTATCCCCTAAAAAATTAGTACCCTAACGACAAATTTTGTCACCAAAATAAGATTCTACTTGAACCATCGATTCTGATTGGACAAAGTAATTCGAATGCAATTTTTTTTGTTTAAAGCGGTTAATAATATGATAGCATTATTTAACTGTGTTAATGTGATAATAAACGTTGATGATACTGAGATGGAAGATGCTAGATTCAACCAATCAGTTTCATAAAGGAACCATCCCAAAATGTTCTGATATTGCAATACATTATTTTCTGAATTAGAATCGAGTAATTCTTGTATGTTTTTTTATGTCTTGATTAAGTAAGTATTAATTTTTTTGAATTAAATTCATTAAACCGATTAAAATAAATATTATTATTGTTTGTTTAAAGTAAATTGTTATTGTAAAAGAAATTGAATTTTTGAAAAACTTTATTTATGCTCATGGCTATTTACTGTAGAGATGGAAACAACAATTATACGACAGAAAATTTCTTTTACCAGAGTTAATATCACTTGTAGCAGTACATGGAAGTGGCATGAAAACAAACCGAAATCGTTATTTTTCATCATTTATCAGTATGTATACTTAGATGATTACTTGACTGATATATAGCATATCGACTTTACAAAAATTAGATATACAACAAGAGAAATAGCTTAAAAACTATTGAATCAAATTTTATACTATATACCGTATTCCGAAAATTGGCAATATAATAAAACTTAGAAAAGTAAAGCATCTTCCATCGATATAGAATGAATGGAATAAAAACGCTTTCTACTAATGAAAAGTTAAAAATAGCTTTGATAAGTAAAAATTTAATTGTGAAATCCATATTTTTAAGCCTGTTATCTAAACTACAATTGATAAAATTTTACGTATTCAATCGGGTATTACTAAAACTGGTTAAACTTATTAGTCAACTTTCAGAGGACAAATCAATTTAAAAAATTTTATAATGAATCTCATTAAGAAATATTCATTTGCAGCAGAAATGCCTTAAACTGCTCCCGAAAATCAAAAATGAGATTTTCTAAAAAACGGGTAAATCTTGGTCCGGAAATCGACCTAAAAATTTTGCAAAACTTGTACATCACAAGATTACTCGAAATAGTTAACTTGATTATCTCAAAATCATATTGTTTGAGCTCTTTCTAATTGTATCTTTTAATTAGTCAATTATTATAATGATGGATTTTAGTTGATAGTTCGTTGATTATTTTGGTGGTTATGTTAGAAGTGTCGATGATATATAAACGGGTTTCTTTTTTGAAGCAAATCAAGTGTATATGATTTTAATTACGTGTTATATATGTTGCTGATTATCACTTAAGCGTAGAGATGGGCCGCTGCGCAAGCGGAACATTTTTGAAGTTCGGAATATTTCGGGATTTAAAATTCTGCCCGCATTAGCAGAAAACTACTATAATGCGGGCCTGCAGCTGCGCAGTAGATTCAAAAAATCTTCGATTTGACCATCTCTACTTAAGCGTACTCATATTACGACAAATAAAAAAAAAGATAGAAATTAGAAGCTTCCTCACATCAATCTGGTAATGAATAAGCGTAACACAGTAAGAAATTTTCTTAGTTAGCCAGATTCAAGATTTTACTAACGGTCTAGACACACTGTTAGGGATTGGACCCGGGTAGAAATTATTACTATACGATTACCCGAAATACATAATAACTTACCCGGTTAATCCGGGTAGAGATTTTCTCAACGGGTCCAATCTCTACACTCTGTTACGTTCTTGGCACGCCAAATTACGAAATCTCGTATTTTTTTTGTAATAATTATTTACAATAAAAGATAAATATCAGATTATACTATTTTTTCAGCCCTTTACTTTTATGACACATTTATATTTTAATGAAACCTCATTAAATACAACCCTATTAAATGTAGCATCCCTCTAATTGCAATTTTAAATATATACTTGATCTCTATAATTGCAATTTTCTTTGTCCTTTATATTGTCAAAGTTCCGTCTGTATAAGGTTTTATGATTAAAGAAGATTTTCGATTCACTACTTTCTTGCGACTTGTATCACTAATTCATATACATTTTGCAATTGTATCACTACGTTCCTGAAATAATGTCTGGCACTTAGTGCCGGTACTTTAGTATCCGACACTTAATGCCCATGCCTATGATACAAGGACGCTGAATACTACTACTATCAAATCATAAATTTTAATCATGAGTGCATCATTTATTACATTTATTCAATTAGGGATGGGAATTATACGGTATAATTAAAATTGTGGTATAATAACTGTATAATAAATATCTAGAACGTATATACGGGTTTGTTACGTGCTTGCTCATTTCTATGAAAAATTTCATCTAAATTTCTATTGGCCAACTTTGTTACACTAAAATATTATACCA